TTCAATAAAATAATTACATTAATCCGATTACAATGCATCATTCGGAATGAAAAAATTAAATGGCGATCTATTGGGAAAATAAAAATAAAGTTTGATCAGCGCATTTTTCTCTCAGTGCGAAATTTTCAAAATATTTAATCTATGAATGAAAATTTCACATTCTTCATTTTAAGTGATTTATTAATTAGACTTACCCGATTGATTTGTTCGTAACATAATCTCGCGGCTAACAGACAGGGCATAACTTTCTGCGGAGAGAGTTTAGCAACAATTTGTAGTACAGAATAAGCATGAGTATACTTTCCAAGCTGAATCAAACATAATGCATATTGAGTCCAGACATGAACTTCCTCATGAGAGAATTTCATTGCTCGCTCGAACGACTGTAACCAAATAATTATTTTCAGTAATACACAATTACGATTACGATTCCCTAGAAGGGTGATGAGTTTTTTTATCGTGAAAACATGGCTCAATCGTTGGAGTTAAAATGGAGTTAAAATGATTGGAAACATCTTTTGATGGAACATCTTGATTGTTATGATACAAAAATTTAAGAGACATTATTTTCCGGAAGAGAAGACGTTACGTTTTCATAGTTTATCTTGATGATGAGTTTTACAAACCTTACGAGCGAATCTCCGCCTTTTGGTGATTTTATTTCGTAATTAACTCTCAGTCAATAGAATGCACTTTTTTTTATTAAAACCGCTTGACTATTTCGTTGTTTAATCACGCTCAATCGTAATGATGAGAAAATTTATACTTATCCTTACCTCATACAACAATTCAACTTGACTCCATCGTACAACAACAACCGTCATAAGATCATAAACGGCAGTAGCATTCTCAAAAGCCCTTAGTCTTGCTTCTTTAAATTCGGGAGACTGACTTAACACAGTCTCTCTGACAGCCATCGCCTCACTAATTAATAATAAAAGAATAATCTCTTCATTCTCATTGCGAGGCACAAACATGTTTGGTCCACTATATTTTTTCGGCTTCCAGGGTGATTCAGATGCTCCATTGGTAATTGCATAATTATTCAATCGTCTATTGAGATTTCCAGTTCCTTGAATAAAAAATTTCATGAGAATTTTAAAAATTGATATGAAGATTGATATGAATTGATGATCGGTGGATTTACCAAACGTATCAGGTGGTGCATCAGGACTTTTATACTCAGCCTCGCTCATATTACGTAATATAACTTCCGCCAATTGTCTGGTTAATGTCAATCGTAAACCCTGAGTTGCTGTTGATTCAACGGCGGATAAAATGGATCTAGAGAATGATAAAATCTTTATGAGAGTATTGGCACTTTAATATGTATCATTTCCGCTTGTTTACCATTTACAGATCGATATTTCCTTTTATCTGAGGACCGTAAAACCGATAATATCAAAAGAGACGGTTTGGACATAAGAATTTCATATTTTATGAGATTTTATCTCAGTGGAAGGTATCAGGTATTTTCCCTGGTTTTTCCGGCTTTCATTGTAA